ATCCTGAAGAACAAGACAAAACAGATTTAGCTGTCGACTGTATTTCAAGAACAGCTTGTGTTGTTGTGCTCTGTAAAACCAAAAACTGCTGACAAAGGGGGTGGGATTTCATGGATGCTTTAGCAGGTATTGCTCAGTTCAGAGCCTGTGTTAGCCTGTGCTGGGGACTGGGGTCTGTACCTGAGTCCAAAGGGAGGGAGGCATGGTTGGTCTCAGGATGCAGAGGTACAGGAGGGGTTCCAAAGGTTGGGAAGATGTCCCAGTAAGGCCAAGTCCTCTCTTACAAATCAGCACTTGGCTGTGGTGAGGGCAAAAATAAGATAAAGGATTAGCAAAAGCAAAGGTGTCTTAGGACTAACCTCAATAAACAAAAGGCATCCTTAAGAATGCCTTTATCTCAGAGGTTGCAGAGAGTCGGTGGGATGGAGGAAGAAGGGTGGAAATAGACCTTGTTTGGTTTCATACTTTCTTTACTCTCTTTATTCTCTGTTTTCTGATGATAAAGGAGCTTTATTTAGATACTGTAGCAAAAGAATTGATGAGTCCTAAGGTTTACAACTTCATTTCCTCCTGGCTCTATTTTTTCCTGGTGACTGCATCTCCTTCCTCTCTGCTGCATCTCCTTCCTCTCTGCTTTGCTGCCCGTGTGCTGCTGTGGCAGGCTGTGCTGTGCCTTTAAGAGGGCTGTGCTGCTCTGACAGACTAATTCCTGAGCCTTGGCATGTGTCAAGGCATGCCCTAAGCTTTGTGGTGTACTTTGTGAAAAACTGAAATGCGTTTTTCTAGGGAGATTTTTAACTCCTTTCTGCCACAGAGGCGCTTCACCATTCTCTTCTTTGGTTGCAAAGTGCACACCACTCAACATCACTATAGCAAGTTCTGCTCTCTTCTCCAAAGGAGATGGGGAGATGAAGTGAAGTAGTGGGCTGCTTTTTTCTTTTCCAATTAAAATTTGTATTTATTGAGTTGTTTTGTTTCATGGCAGAGCTCTGAAGGGTGACTAAAGCTGAGATGGCAAACTCTGTTACTGTTTATATCTTCCCTGGTAGGGATACCACTGCAGTGCTCACCTCTCATTGCAGCAGCAGAGTGGTGTAGTGTGAAACATGCTGACCCACAGCAGTCACAGCTTTATCAGGGATTTCATAGATTGTGAATTTCCTAATGTTTCCCATGGTGAACGTTACCTTTTGCTTCTTTTTCCCTCTCCTCATGATCAAAAAGAAACTTTTAAGTAGACAGTACAATTAAACTGTAAAAACTAACATTAGTACATAAAATGTGTGGTTCTTTCTTTTTCTTTTATTTTTTTTTCAGCAAATCTCATTCTTTTGAAATCAAGTGTATGCTTGGAGACTTTTTTTCCTAATGTTTTCTAGGCACAGCAATACAGTCTTTAAAGCATAGTCCCAGCAGGAATATTGCAGACATAAATGACATATCAGGAGGTAACTCTGCAGTGACCCTTGTGATTTTAAAAGCAGTGTCTAATGCAAGGTCCTGGATCTGTGTGTTAACTTGGTTTTCTAGTAAAAGCATAAATCCTCTTCAACTTCCAGGTATTTACCTACCTATATATTGTCTCAGGCCTTTGGAAAGAAGTGAGTCCAGGTAAGCAGAAATTCCCCATGGCTCTGGCACTGTGGTGGCTCTGGAGCTTGCTGTGCAGTCCCTGGCAGGATGTGGGCCCCACAGATCATAGAGCCCTTTCTGGTAGAGACTGGCCTGTTTTTACAGGAGAGATGCTGGAGGGGAGGAGAAGGAGCTAGGGCTGGCAGTGCCTTCCTCGCCGAGGTGGTTGTGTGGTAAACCACTTAACCTTTGAGCTGCAGGCATGGTGTGAGCCAAACAGTGGTGTTGGTACCATGTATGGCATGCTGGGTTTGAGTGAGTTACCCTACAGTGCTTCACAGCCTCAGCTCTGCCATTGTGTGAGCCAAACAGTGGTGTTGGTGCCGTGTATGGCATGCTGGGTTTGAGTGGGTTACCCTACAGTGCTTCACAGCCTCATCTCTGGGGTTGTGCTGAGTACACTTGCTCTGTTTAAGCAGCTTCTAGTGCTCCTTACTGAGCCTTTGGGAGGTCTCCCCTCCCTCCCAGGAGGTCTGACAGGGCTCTCATCCCTCTCCATGGCCAGTGGCGAGCAGTCTGTGCTGTGGAACTGCTCTGGAAGCAGCGCTGCATGGAGAGCTCTGCCCCAGGGCTGCATGGATGGAGAGCTCTGTATGGAGAGCTCTGCCCCAGGGCTGCAGAGGCACAGCTCAGCACAAGCCCTTCCCAGGAGTTCTGTCCTCTCCTGCATTGCCCTCTGGCTGCCCGGGCCCCAGAAATCCCCAGCTACCTGTGCCCTGCAGGATCCACTTGTTCCTCTGCTGGAACAGGAAACAGAGCTCCAGGATCTCCTGCTGTCCCTGCCACCTGGGAATGGGAAACAGAGCTCCAGGATCTCCTGCTGTCCCTGCCACCTGCTCATGGGGTGGCCTGGGCATGTCACACCACCTCTCTCTGCACTTGTAATGCTGAAGTGCAGATTTTGTCTTCTCCATTCATACCCAAGAGCTGCTTAGGCCAAGTTAATGAATGACCTAAAGTCAAGCGTGTCAGGGGACTCACAGCATGGTATAAGTTTGAAGGTTTACTCTGCAGTTAGGGGTGGAGGTAGCCCTTGTTGAAAATTATTTATTTTATCATAAATCATCATTTGGTCAGGTGTAATCATAAAAAGGAGAAAGGAGTGTAGAGAAAGCCTGTCCCCTGTTAACAATGTTTCAGGAGATTGAGGCGCTGGCTCAGCTGTGGTTTTGGTGCATGTGCTGACTCTGAGGCTAGTACTGCTTACTGCAATTGATGGGGTGGCATAAAAACAGAATGAATCCTACAGGTGTAGTGTTTCACCATACAGATGGAATCCAAGAGTTAAAAGATCCAAGGATCTAATCCAGTATAATAACATTTTGCAAAACCTATCAAATTCACAGCAAGTGACAAGCAGAAAAGCTCCTGAGCTAAGTGGAAAATGAAATTAGAGAGAATTAGATTGCTCCTTGTCTATCTAAGTCGTTGTTTCACTTAACAGGGCAAACAAACATTTTATCTGAGCCCTTAGCAGAAGCTTAGGCCGGGTTGTGTTGCCCTGCTCTCCCCAGCCATATTGCCCACAGAAATGGAGTACCCTTCATGCTATCTGGATAGAGCAGTGTTCTGCTGGAGGTGTGTTTGCTCCCTCATTGGTATGCCGTAGAAGGCATCTCATCCCTTAAAAAATGAATATATATATATATAGTTGTATTTGTTTTCCTTGTGCTGCCATATACATAATAGATTGTTCTTTGTTTGAAGGATTTAAACATAAACATCTGGCAGAGACTGGGGATAGTAATGTCTTTGTTGGTTAGATGTGGGGTTGCAGGTCCCTTCCAAAGTGAAATGTTGTATGCCATCCACTGTGATCCTGGTTTGTATACTTGAGAATTTTGGTGTGGGAAGGGCAATTAATGCAATGCTAATTCACACAGCTGGATAAAACAACTATGTCTAAAACTGGCACAAGGTAAAAACAGATTTATTTCTGTAAGTAGTTCTGCAGTTGGTTCCCATGGAGCTAACACCAAATTCAAATTTTGGAAGTAAATATTTATAGGAAATAATTTTATCTGACCTCAGTTGGATAGTGAGAGGAATTGTTTTTTACTAAAATATGTCAGTATATGATGCACATGGGGCAGATCTCTCTGTGAGAAATTGAGTTTTCCTGTAATGTAAGCTTTGTCATGTTATTTGGACACCAACAAATCTGGTTGTAGCCTGAATCTAGACAACAGGCTATCACAGATGAAAAGAGTAAAGAGAAAACAGAAAGAAAAAAAAAAGCCAAGGCTAGGTTCTTGTATTGCAGCCCCTTTGCAGTGAGCGGAGGTTACCCTGCAAGGAGCCTTTGTGGCTTTTACCAGACCATTTGCAGATCAGTGCCGTGGCCACGGAAGAGCCATTCTGATGTTCTGGCTCTATCTGTTGCAAACTATCTCAGCAGATGAGCCAGGCACTCGTGGGTTGGAAACAGAACTGCCAGTGAGTGTCAGTGAACTGAGCACGGGCTGGAGTCTGGTGGCAGCAGCACATCCTTCAGCTCCGCTGCTGCACTCAGAGAAAGATTTTCCTTTGAAGATAAGACACATGGGGCTCCTGTAGAAACATAGTGTGCCCCATGTTGTGCAGCTGTTAGCACAATTTAAAATAAAAGCCAGAGAAAGGCAAAGCGTCTGGCTCTTGTGTGGGCCACCAAGAATTCCTGCAAATGCTAAACCCCAGACCGTCACTTTTCACTCTGCAGTTAAATTGCTCGTGAACCCTTCGTGCGAGCTCTGAGCCAGAGCAGCCTCTGAGGGTGTGGATGTGCGAGTGCGAGTACTCGGTGTCGTAACGTGGCAGGGCACAGGCACTTGTTATGAAACTGCACAGTAAAGGCTCCGTGCGTCAGTGCTGGTTCTTAGGTTTGCTGTTTCTGTTTGCTTTTGTTCCTGTCCGTGGCCCTGCAGTTTTGTTTCCATTTATGAGTGCAGGAAGAGGGGGAGAGGTTGGGAAACGCTGCTGGAGGAGCCGGGCAGTTCCTGTGACAGGTGGAGCAGCGCAGTGCTGAGCGAGATTCCTGGGACACCACAGGGAAGGGAAGGGAAGGCTCCACGCCCGGGGCAGCCGCGGTTACAGGGGCCCCTTCAGTGCGCTGTGGCAGCAGCCAGAAGTTTGACTTATTTCTTGAAAGGACTGGAGAAATGATTAACCCCAGTTGGTGACGTCAGAGTTGATCTGATTAAAGGTTTGTTTTCTTGCTGGCAGAGGTGTGCTCCGTAGAGACCGGTTCTCTCTTCTTTCTTTTTTAAGTTTGTTTTTTGCACAGCAGCCGGAGGGAACCGCTCGCGCTGCCGCCGCTGCCCAGCCGCGTGTGTATGCGTGTGCACAGGATGGTGTGTCTGTAGCTGCCACACGCACACACACCTCTGACCATGAGGACTCTTCGCAGGTTGAAGTTCATGAGTTCGCCCAGCCTCAGTGACCTGGGCAAGAGAGAGCAGGCAGCCTTGGACGAGCGGGGGACGCAGCAGCGCCGGGCCTGCTCCAACGCCGCCTGGAACAGGTAAGGTGGCGCCGTGTGCCGGCTCCTGGCACGGGGATTGGTGTGCCGGGGGCTGCCCGCTCGGATAAACACGGGAGTGCTTTTTACCCCGTGCTCTTCATCTTCCTCTGAAGGCTTATAACAAACAGGGATCCCTGGCTTCCCTTTGGGACAACAACTTGTTTCCTAGGCTCCAGCTACAAACATATCTTTGTGTCTGTCTAGATATTCAAAGTTTATTTGGCTTAGGTTCTTTGGTTTTTTTTAAATTACATGTGCGCAGCTATTAAAATACGTATGTGATATATGTTAGAAATCTATTGATCATTTATAACACATACTTTTTATCTGCACGTCTATGGCTGTTGCTGGTAGTTAGGGCAAAGTCTGCTAAGTTTACTCATGTTACAATACACGTACAAATAGATCTGTGCATGTATGTATGTACACACGCAAACACATGCAATGCACTTATTTTGCACTTTGGATGGGCAAAATAAGCCCTGATTGTTTACTTTATTGTATTTATGCATTTTAATTCTGTGGCTGTTTTACAAGAAAACCTATGCAAACATTATATTGTGAATGTGTCAATTAGCTCAGCTAGTCAGAAAGTCCATTTTGGTGACAATCTTAAAAGATTAATCTAAGTCTCTAAATCATTAGGAATTAAATTCTTAGGTCATTTTTGAAAATGAAATGTCACCTCCTGGATCACAGCTTGGAAAGTGTCATCTGTAGTATTTTATAAATGTAAGGTGGTACAACTCTAGGAAAAAAAATACCAGTGAAATGCAGAAGCATTTGCTAAAATTCTGAGAAAAATAAAATATATAAAATAGCATATCTTCTGTCCTTCTCACCACTTGATTTGTGGTTTCATGTCTGTATTACCAATTAGTTATTTAATGCCAACAGTGCACTAAACTCTGAAACTGTGCTGATCACAAAAGAGACTGATTTTCCTCTCAAATATCGTGCTGCTAGTATGACCCTGAGTTGTACCTGATGTGCAGATGGATGGCGGTGGTAGTTCAAGGATAGATTGGGCCATCTTGAGTCGTGCCAGTTGGGACTTTATTTGTCAGTACCCCTAAGGGAAGCAGCGGGGAGTAAGAGACTCCTGGGAGGGGATCATGGTGACAGAGTCCCCAGACCCTTTTTGTGATGGTGTGCTGACAGCTGTTGTTGGCAGAGGTTGGTTTTTCCAGGCTTTGCATGTGGGGAGGGAGCTGTGGAGGCCACTGTGAATGGAGAGCAGGTCAGGCACCCAGCTTGCTGGGAGGCAGAGAGTTCCAAGCTTGGGCCTGCTGATATTCAAACCAGAGAATTTCCCTAGTTGGGATGCGTTTGTTAGCAAGCGAGAGTCTGTAACTTTTAATTTTGACAGGACAGGTGCAGCTCTGGCCAGAAGTGGCTGCCAGACTGGCTTGCCAGTCAATGAGCTGTACATCTGCACGTTTCATCCACACAATTGCACAACTGTCCCATTGCCTGTTCCTTGACCGGGTGTCCATGAGTCACCCTGACACTGCTTTGCATGAACTCACACCTGGCCGTGCTTTCCAGCCCTGGGTGGCCTTTGCCAGTGCAGGCGTTGGCAGGCTGTCCTTGTGAGGGCATGCTCCCCTGGAACACCCCAGAGCATCAGTGGGGCTGTGCTGTGGCTCAGGTGTGCACCATGGGGCTGTGCTGTGGGACAGGTGATGGCACCATGGGGCTGTGCTGTGGCTCAGGTGTCACCATGTCCCTGCATTAGCAGCTGCCAGAGCTGTGACAGCTGTTGCAGACATGAGCTGGGTCACTGCACGGGCAAAGGGAAGGCCCTTGGTTTCTTGTTTAACAGGGCAAGGCCTTCTTCTGAGTGAAAGAGTGAGGGTAATTCTTCTTCCAGGCTCAGAAAGACTCATATCATCTGTTGCTGTTAAGAAACTCAGATATTCTACAGGCTGAAAAACTGGGTCTTTGTCCTGAGGAAGGTCAGGTCTTAAATGATACTGAACATTCCTGGACATCTAAAGTTTCACTCACCAGAAATCTGGTCTGGCTTTTTTAAATCTTGGGCTGTGCAATTTCTTTTCTTTTTCTGCTGCAAAATTGAAACAACCCAACATAGGACACTTCGCATACTTCGGTTTACAGGAGTATTTTTCCTTCCAAATGAAATGATTGCTTGTGTTGTTTCATTCTGTGTAAGCATAAGAGCTTGCTGATCAGGGAAGTCAAGATGCACCAGCAGAGCTCTCCCTTCTCACCAAGGCTGGCTGTTCTATATTTAAATGTCTGCTGTTTCTTTGCCTGGTGTTAGCAGCTGTGCCTGGGTGTGGCACGTGTGTGCCTGCTTTTCAAAGAGGCTTTGAATCTGTCCCTGCTGCTCCTGGGGTCCCTCACAGCACAGCAGCTCTGTCCCTGGGGTGCATGCATGGCTGCCCCTCTGCACTTGCTCTGTGTGTGGCCCCCATGGCCCAGTGCTGTCCCCTCTGCTGCCTCTGCCCCCTTCACACCAGTCCCAGCTCAGGCTGAATTGTCACACCTGAGAATCATTTCTGCATTTAGGCGCCAGGGCAGGACAGCCTGAGGGAGCCAGATTCAGCCTGCCGGGGGAGCGTAGCACTGTGGTACCAAGGAAGGTCACTTGGTCCCTGAGGACCTCCCTTAGGTCTGAACTAAAACGCAGTGGAACTTCTCAGCACGGTAACATCAAAGGGAAATCAGTGCCAAGCTGCTGCCTGCTTTTAGGCAAATGAGACTTTGTATCATGGCTTTTCAGAGCTTGCTTTCCCATGGACCCTGGATCTGTGCAGCCAAACACTGACGGTGCAGTTAGCTAGCAAGCAATGGCAACATAGCGGGACAGTTTCCTGAATTACAGCTCACAGAATTTGCATTGGATTGAAATAGTTCAGATTTTTTTCACTAGCCCTGTCTTCAGTTCTTGTTCTCCCCCTCAGCCCCCATTTCTGCTTCAGGCAAGAAATGAAGGCTGAATGCTGACTAAACCCATTGGGCTGAGAAACGAAGGGGTTTTAATCCTGAGCTCACACACCAGGGGCCCACTCAGGCCAGATAAAATCCATGGCAGCGTTTCCATTCCGACTGAGCCAGCACAGACTGCCTCATCAGGAGCTGATACTGGCTGAGCTGTGCTCTGGGAAAGCCTCTAGTCAAAGGCTTGAGATCCTCTTTGATGTAAGAAAATATGGAAAATTCACAGAGACATGAAGGCGTAGGAGACAGCAAAGAAAAGGTGAAGAAAGCAGGTGAGTTTCTTGTGACATCAGTGAGATCAGCAGTAAATCAGAGGAGACGTACCATACCTGAAAGCATTTTATGGCCTGGGCTAATTTTTTACAGGGTTGTAATAATCACAACAACTTCCTGTAAAATAACTTTTACAGCCATGAAAACCATATTTCGTCTCCCAAGTTATGGTTAATGTTTTTTCAGATCACAGGAAGGCTTTTCCAGTGGAGAAAATATTCCAGACCAGCATATTTTTCTCTTTCTTCCATTATTCAGTTTTTATTTAGAAATATTAGTAATTCCTCATCTCTGTGGCCAGACTGATTCTGACCTGGCAGAAAGCTGCTTTAATCACAATAGTTTTTTCTTCTTGGCTTCCAGATGTCAGTGAAAGAACACTTATGGGTGGTACTGGAGGGAGCCAGCCTCCCACCCTGTGGTGTCTGGATGGACAAACAGCAGCTCAGGAGAAATGTCTGTTCTGGTGGTAATGACGGACAAACAGCAGCTCAGGAGAAATGTCTGTTCTGGTGGTAATGAGCCCTGGAGGCAGTAGCCTATAATTGATTAATACTCTGTAAATATCAGAATAATTCAGCCCACCCTGCCCACCTGGAGCCTGCCCCTGTTGGGCTGGTTGGGGGTGCCCTCAGCAAGCATCCAGCTCTGTGCCTCAGGGATTTGCACCTTCCAGTCCCTTCATGGTGAAGCTAATGGTGGGCACAGTCTGTGCTGTGTGTGCTGGAGCTGCCATTCCCCACATGATGGTCAGCTGGAGCCACCTCCTCCTCTGGAGGTTCAGTCAAATGTGCACTGAGTTGCTGTCTTCTGGATGAGATGAAGTTTCTTAGGCTGCTGAGTTGGTTTTTGTGGCTGTGAGGGCTGCCTTGGGTGTTGATAGTTTTCTTTGGCAATCTGTAGCTACCATGGGTAGATAAGTGCAGTAAATTGTTGGAGCCATCTGACATTTTGTTACTCCAAAGGCAACCCCCCAAAAAAGGTCCCTTCAGTTTGCACATCCTGATTTCCCCTTCTCCAGCAAGCCTGCTCTGTGGAGTTTTCTGGGCTCTATTGGACTCTGTTTCCTGCAGCACCATGTTCTGTGCACACACACACAGAGCAGGTGCAGAGGAGGTGCTCACAGCAATGTTAGTGCATGAGGGCACCCATTATTAACCCATTTAACACCATTATCTATTGGACTCTGTTTCCTGCAGTTCCATGTTCTGTGCACAGACACACACAGAGCAGGTACAGAGGAGGTGCTCACAGCAATGTTAGTGCATGAGGGCACCCATTATTAACTTTCATGTTGTAAAAGAGTTAGAGAAGGGAGTTCACAAGGCATTTTCAGTTCAGGTGAGCTATTGCAATGTAAGTTTCATTGTGTACGTCACTGCCTTAAGCCTCAATGGAAGCTGGTTGCAGGCACAGGTCAGGCCATCCACCCACCTCAAGCATCTTGCAGGACTGCTGTGTGTGAGCAGCAGCTCAGGTTTTCTTTACACCAAAAGGTTGAACCATTCTGACCAAATCTTTTTAAGCAATCACTTGTTATGGAAACCCATTGATTTAACCAAGGTCTAGGTCTGTTTTTTTTTCATTAGTTTAAGGTAACTAAGAAGATTTAAGCAAACTTTTCATTATCCTTGCACAAACTGAGGCCACCAGCAGCATCCCACATAACCTGCAGGCTGGGGCTGTGTCCTGCGCCCTCCCTACCAGCACTGCTGTCTGTGATGGGAAGGAAAGGCAGCTGGTCACCTTAATGAGGCCAGGGCTTGTTTTCCAGACAAGGATATTGTCCCTCACTACCAGGGAGATCAGGGCAGATTGAAAGTTCACTGTTAGGATGTTTTATGTAGGTGCTGTTCTATACAGACAATAAATTAAATGCTCACAACCTGTCCCTTTTAATTCTGGTTAAAAAAGCTTGCTCTCTCCTATTTCTTTGAGGAATAATGATGGACCTCTTAAGCTGCAGAGAGAAGACCTCTCCCTCATTTAGAAAGGGGTGCCCGAGGGAAAGAGAGGGAGCACGTTGCCTTTTAGGAGAGGTATTTATTTAGTCATTGTTCTCTGCAGAAGTCTGGCAGGCAACATTGCAAAGTTCATTTCTGAATCAGAGGAGCGTGTCAAGACTGCTTGTTTTATTCACTACATTGATCTTATTTCCCATATTACTCATAATGTTCAAATACCCACGTCACTTCACTGTAAACCAGAGACATTTATCTGCTGATTTTCAAGTAATTGTAAGTTGAGTGTGTCTGTGTGAGCCAGCCAAAATAATCTGGGTTAGATCGTGGATGTGTATCTGTGCCTGTGTGTGTAGGGGGGAAGGAGGGACTGCTGTGGCAGCAGTGGTGTGTGAGGCCCTGGAAACATCTTCAAAGGAACAGAAGAGAGAAGAGGACATGGTTCTTATTTCTGGCTACGTCTGTATTTCCCCACAGCCGGTCAGACCCTTCACTGCCACTTTCGGTTTCCTTCTCCTTAGCTGAAGGTGGCTGAGCTGTTCAGATCGTGCATCTCTGCCATTGTGCATTTGGAATCTCTCAGTGAGCAGCGTGGAGTTCACCTTCCAACCATCTCTGCTCCCAGCCAGCATTGAAAGGAGCTGTCCTAGCATGGGCTGGCGAAGTTTAACGTGGGCACTGGCATTGCCAAGGCAATTTCTGATGCTGCCTGGCACAGCTCCTGCAGGGACAGCCCCTTGCAATGGGAGCAGCTGGACCTGGGCATGGATCAGGCCAGGGCTGACCACATCCTCAGTACATGAGGGGAGCCTACAAGAAAGGAGAGGGAGACATTTTACAGGGACATGTGGTGACAGGAAAAGGGGGAATGTCTGCAAAGTGACAGAGAGTAGGTTTAGATTGGATAGCAGGAAGGAATTCCTCCCTGTGAGTTTGCTGAGGCCCTGGCACAGGGTGCCCAGAGGAGCTGTGGCTGCCTCATCCCTGGGAGCATTCAAAGCCAGGTTGGATGGGACTTAGAGCAATCTGCTCTAATGGAGGTTGTCCCTGCCCATGGCAAGGGATGGGACAGGATGATCTTTAGGTCCTTTCCTACCCTGACATCCTGTGATTCTCTGATAAGCTCTTCTTCCACCAGCAGGAATCCCCTGGAGACCTTATACCAGATACTGACCACCTTTAGCTGTTCTTCACAAGGCACAGCAGCCCCACAGCCTGTGTGTACAGGATGGGCAGATCTGGTCCTTATCCTGCTTTCCAGAGTTCTGCAGCTGCTGCTGCTGCTGCTGCACAGACTCCAGCACAATGGAAGCTGTTAATTGTCTCTGTACTGAGCCATGCAGATAAAAACTATACTTGCAAATGCCTCAAATATACTTAATGTGTGTATTAAAAGTTATAGTTGACATACTTGAAGTACTTAAAAATACTGGCCTAAGTTTTTGAAATTACTGATTTCAGATGTGCAGGTGTTGAAGCTACTGAGCTGGAACAATTCAAAAGGAACTGATTTTCAAAGATGTTATCTATTTTCTAGGCAGTAATTTCCTTTCAGGCATTTGGGATGGGGGGAGTACCAGAATCATCTATGATTTTTAAAAGGTGCTGGAGTGTCTAGACAGAAATGCTGGGATAATTGTGGAGGTGATACCCATCTCACATCTTGCTGGGCACTAATGACTCCTCGTGTCCTCTTTCAGCATCCACAATGGAGTGATAGCAGTGTTCCAGCGCAAGGGTCTGCCAGACCACGAGCTCTACAACCTCAATGAAGGAGTCAGGTAAGAGCCTGGGCCCTGCAGGGCCTGGCACAGTCACAGCTGCTGCTGCCTCAGAGGGTTCAGGTTTGTCCCTGTGCCAGTTTATCTGCAACAGATTAACTGTAGGCCAGTGGGATGCGTGATGGGAACTTTCTTCCCATTAAAAAAAAGTGAAATATCTACTATTTGAGTTATTTACGTTACAGTTGATAAGAAAAATTACAACGATATAAGCTGATACCTGTATTTACAACACTTCACATTTTACTGCTTTTTCAGCACTTATTATTGTTACCAAACCCTCTCACTGGCAAGAGCAAAGCAGCAGATTTCCTTATAGAAATTTGTCCAATGCTTTATAAAATAAATGGTGGGAAAGAATCTGCACTTACAAAAGACAGACAGCTTATTACATTCCCTAGCTGTCTTCAGATATGATCCTTAGTTATTCCCTTTCCCTTACTACCTTTTGCTGCTTTGTTTGGGCACTGGAGTCAGACTCTGCAGTATATTCCCCACAATACACAGATATTCTGGGTTTATTTGTCCCTGTCTGATTCCCAGGCTGGGATAGATGGCCCAGTCTGGTTCCTTTAATTGTGACAATATCTCAGACAAGTCCAGCCCGATGCTGTTGGGCCTGTGCTTGCTCTTCTTGAAATTAAAATAAACTCACTCTTCAGTTATTTCTTACATGGCTGGTGAGAGAATGACATGCATAGAGTAGCTTTTCCAGGATGTCTGTCAGTTAGCATGGTCCATCAGTCACATTGAGTTACTTACTGGAATAATGGTTAATCAGCGTTACTATTGTAAGTGCCTTTAGGATTATTCAGCTTTACCTGACTGACAAAAAAAGGTACTTCTGGACTGAGATTTCTTGGCCCAGTGCACTTCCCTTAATATGCTCATCTGCTGGTGAGGGACGGAAGAGAAAAAATTTTCTGCTGATGTGTCAGACAAATATAATCTGGTATGAGCCAACAAACAGACAGAAATGTGCCCACATTTTGCTTTAATTTCCTTGGCTATAAACCCTGCACCACAATGATGCTTGGTAACATAGTTGACTTGAAGTTATTGCAGCATCTCATTTGGCTGAACATGCAAGCTGACTAGAAATGCATTGATGGAAAGCATGATTCTTTTCTTGCTCTTTTTAATACAGGCAATTACTGAAAACAGAACTGGGATCATTTTTCACTGAGTATCTGCAGGTAGGCCTGTGTTTTCTTTATTTAAAGACAATTCTGTTTTATGCTACCGAGAACAATAATTTTGCCCACTCTAAATGATGACCTGGAGACCCTTGAAACCATTCAGAGACTTCTCTGTGGTTTTGAAATTAACAGATTAATGAGATTGGGATTTTGTATACGCAGGTATAGTTAGACAGGGAAAGCCCAACCCATCATGGTGTTTCTGTAGGTCACTGCTGTCTTTCTTTTGGTTTCAGACCTTGGTTTTTAGCTTAAAATTGAAGTAAACCAGTGAAGTTCATTGACATAGAGTTACTAGGAAAGACTTTTGGAAGTAACTACCACTGTCTGTTGAAGCAATATTCTTTCTGCCTCTCCAAACACGTGTTTTGTAGGTCAGTCATTTGAAGTTCGAGAAGCACTTTGCAAAATACATCCTTTGCCCTAAAAACAGAGGTGATTTTAGCATAATTTCACAAGGGTCCCAAGTGAGTTAAATAAGATGGATGCAGCAAGAGCTCTTTGATGATTAATTTTTAAAATAAAAGACCCCCTTCACTGTCTAAAGTTAAGAATGAAGAAAATGTAAAATATTATGGCTGTAGGGAAGTACAGGATTGAGTAAATGTAGTCTGTGTTTTATTTACAGAATCAGCTGCTCACAAAAGGCATGGTGATCCTAAGGGACAAGATCCGGTTCTATGAAGGTAACTTGGATTTTAGCGTGGCTGTGTGTGTCACAGGTGTTTTAGCAAATGCTCTCTGGGGGCACTGGCATGCTTTCCATCTCTTCCTGGCACTGTGGGTCACCATGTCTCAGTCCATTCCCCAATCCATGCTCTCCACTCTGTTCCTGTCGGTCTCCATGTCCATGTCCATTCCTCAATCCATGCTCTCCACTCTGTTCCTGTGGATCACCATGTCTCAGTCCATTCCTCAATCCATGCTCTCCACTCTGTTCCTGTGGGTCTCCATGTCCATGTCCATTCCCCAATCCATGCTCTCCACTCTGTTCCTGTGGGCCTCCATGTCCATGTCCATTCCTGCAGTCTGCTGTTGGGCCCTGCCTTGGTGCTCTCATTTCCCTTTATAAAGGAGAGGTGATTGCCCAGAGCAGCACTGAGGGAGTCAGGGAAGGATTGCCTCCAGCAAGGACCCTTCCTTCTCCTTCAGTGACATCCTGCTCAGGAAAAGTGAAAATAGACCCGTCCCAATTCCTTGTGTCCCCCCAGGCCCTCACTGGTGGGGTGGGAGAGGAGCAGAACAGGCCTTGGCTCTGTGCACACCCTGCTCAGCAATAACTCAAGCATCCCTGTGTTATCAGCACTGTTCCAGCCCCTGCCAGCTACTGGGAAGAAACTGATCCCAGCCAAAACCAGCACATGTTTATTATTACTATTACTACTACTGCCACCATTGTTATTATTATTACTACTACTGCTGTTACAGCTGCTAGAAATCTTTTTAGTTGGTCTCCTGCTGTATTTCATTAAAACTAATGAAAAACAGATTTTTTTAAAAAATGTTTTAAAAATGGAAACAGAGAACATCCTTTTCAGTCTTGTGCAGGACAGAGAGAAGTCCTGCCTGGTGGTGCTGAAAACAAGACCTTGGTGTGTTCCCCAAGCCAGCAGCTTGTGGAACACAGTAGAACATGATGGTCCACATCTGCCACTGAAAGCACCTAAAGTCCTCAACGTGGAAATCATTCAGGAGTTGCAGATTGACCACAGCTGATGTTATTATTCATCATGTGCTTAAAAAGGCAGAGGGATCAAGTATCCCATAGTGAAGATTGGCTCACTCTGAGTGCAGTTAGCAGTGTCAGTGCTTTCATGCAGAATTGCTTTGTGATATCTGTGTAATTCTGGACAAAACACTCCCTGGATGAGGCTCCAAGTAATGCTCTCATACAAAAAGTAAGAATAGCATCACATTCTGACACCAGTAGCAATATTGATTGATTGCTACTGAATGTGCTTCGTGGTAAGTCACATCGTCCTGTGCGAATAGGTCAGAATCTCTGATGTCTTTTCCTCCATAACACTTGCTGGTGGAGGTGCAGGGACATTGCTCTGCTCTCACAGCTGGGCTGGGGTCAGAGGCATGGTAAAGACCTTCTCCAAGGTCCCATGGGCCCTTTTGGGGAACAGGGATCTGAGGCCAGAACCCACCTGTTCAACCAGATCTCCTCTGTGGATCTTGGCTCCTGCATTTGCCTCTGTGTTGTGCAAAATGTTCTGTGAGGAGCTCAATATCCAGCTTGGCTGTGCAGCCTGGCCAGAGCTTCTCCAGATTCTGCTGGGGCGGATTCCAGGTGGCTGCAGCTGGGGAAGGATGGACATGCAGGAGGGCTTGTTGTGAGGATTCCAGGTGGCTGCAGCTGGGGAAAGGATGGACAGGGAGGTGGCCTTGTTGTGAGGATTCCAGGTGGCTGGAACAACCAAAACTCTTCACTAGTTTGTTTTGTGTTTTTGCAGGGCAGAAGCTACTGGATACCTTAGCTGAAACCTGGGATTTTTTCTTCAGCGATGTCCTGCCCATGCTGCAGGCTATTTTCTATCCTGTGCAGGTGAAAAAAATTATTGTATTATCATAGAATCTTGAAAAACTGGAAGAAGCAGCTTTGCAGGTTCATCAGCAGATTGATGCAATCCTCAAGTCTCTCTCCTTGGGCCAGCCTCCCAGTGCAGCTGTTCTGTTTAGCCATGTCATGCAAATAAGTTATTTATGCAAATGGTTTGAAGTGCTCAGAAGGAAAAGATGAACGGGAACTTTGAAAACAAAAGTAGAGTGCAGGGAGGCTGGCTAGTCCATCTGCCAATCACACTAAAAGTGAAAAAAGGTCATGAATGATAAACTGAAGTGTTGCACAGTGGGATAAATGGAGTTGTGTTGATTTAAATAGATGCATTTTCCTTCTCTGCAATGTGAATTTTGTCTTTGAAGTATCTCCACTTTTTGAAAAGGAATTGTATTTCTGAGATCAAATTCTCTGCTATGGTAAGTGGACAGCCAAAGTCAGTGGGGTTTGATGAGCACAGACTGTGAGTGCAGTAATTTTAAATACACAATAGGTACTCGATCCTCTGATGCAGTGATAGCCAGAGAGTATTGCTTATCACTGAAGTCTCAAGGAAATCTGTACCAGACAGGTGCAAGTGATCTTTGCAGTTGCTCATGGATGCCTACAGATTTTAGTGGGAGCTGGGTGCCTGAATATATTTGGGGAGACTTGAGAAACCTTCTCCCATGTTTTCAGGTGGACTTTATACCTCAAATGATTACCCAGATGTTAAGGATATTACTGTTTGCATCCTCAGACAGTTACAGATATGGAGTCTGAATTTAGACTCTGTTGTGTATCTGAGGCCTTTCACAATATTTTAGTATCACAAGTCTTATCCCCTGTCAGATGGAAATAATGACTTGAATTTCCAAAGGAACCTTGAGGATTTAAGAATCCTAAGTCCCATGTAAATTCAAATAGGTCTCGTTGCTCATGTTCTGATATTTCTTCCAAAAGCCCAGTTGGTGCTTATGTGCTCTTGTAAATTCTATTCATTAGCAACTGAAGCTGATATGGGGCCTTCTTTACTTCAGTTTAAATAATTTAGGAAGTGAAAAGGAAGGGGTTGGGCCAGGCTTATTTATTCCAGACTTAAGTCAGCACCAGTTGAACACCAGAGTTCCCATATGTGCAGCCAGGTATAGCCAAGGAAAAGCCCTAATGGCAGAAAGAGAAACAGTTGCAGAGCTCTGCATGAGCCTGCAGACAGAGCTGGAGCTGTATTCTTCAGCTGGGAGGCTTCCTCAGTGAGATGGTGCTGCTGAACCAAAGACAGATGGCCTTGAAAATGCAGCATGAACCTTCAGCTCTGCTCCTGCTTTATGGTGAGGTCTCTCAAACTGTGCAGACAGGAGCATCCACAGCTGGGCTGAGTCAGGATTCCTGCCACATTTGGAGAAAGTCAACAGGGAGTACTCGGCATCTTAATAATGGAAATTCAACCAATGCCAAAGGCAGTAATGCCTTTTTTTTAACTTATGATACATTTAATTTGTGATGAACTGTTAAAATACAAAATATTCCTATCTCATCCCACCCCAGCCCTTCATCCTCTGCACATGCAGTCAGACACAGTCACCATCTGTAGAGTTCATTGGAGCCAAATCAGATTTACTGTGCAGTCTTGGGGGCTGCTCTCTGTCCTTTGGTGTGTTTCCTTTGTGTTTCATTTGGGTTTGCCATTCTTGTAATCCCTCAGGAGTGGAGGAAGGAATTGGAAGAGAGGATTTTGGAACTCATTTTCACACTGCTGATCATCTGTCTTGCTTTCTTTGTGTTTCCAAGGGAAAGGAGCCCTCAGTTCGGCAGTTGGCTCTTCTGCATTTTAGGAATATCATTACCCTCAATATCAAATTGGAGGATGCATTATCCCGTTCCAGAGCCAGAGTTCCACCCTCTATTATTCAGATGCTGCTCATACTCCAGGTAAATTGGTTCCTTTTCTCAGCCTTTCTGTACTGCATTGCTGAAGTTTTCTTAACCAGTCTCTGATTTTGCTCATTCATTGGAAATATCCTACCCAGAATGCCAGAGCTTCTGTGCTCCTGTGGTCATAATGTCTAAATCCTAATATTCTAGTATCCAAGTACCCAAATGTCTAGTGTCTAAAAAATCTTATTAGCCTAATATCTAAACTTTCCCATCGTGTAATAGTAATAATGTATATTAATATGTCATCTAGTATAGAATATCTAATTATAATGTGACATATAAGGGTGTAATAAAATAATAATTGTAATGTAATAATTAAACTATCAAATATCTTCAAGTAGGGACGTAAGATCAAGTGAGTGTGAGAGTACAGACTTGTTTTGCAGCTAGGCCTTGAAAGATGAAGTTTTGAACGCTGACAGGTGTGTGGTGATGCCATGATTTCCATTGGGTGCTGTGTGTTGCTGCATTAGCAGCTCAGGATATGAAGGTTCACATCTGGAATAGGCATCAAAGTGAATATACAATTAATACAGCAATGGTTGAATCGTGGTCATACTTGGTCACTGGAACCAAACTCTATCCAAACTGATGATATAAAAACATTAGGACCAGATACTGGTATTTGACTTCAGTGTTGGATTTTTTTCTCTGTGTGTGTGTGTAGTAGTAGGAGAAACAAAATGAGAAATCCAGGTGAAAGGCAATTTTAAGATATTTTTATTTGCTTAATTAAATAAAAGCATGAGGTATGATGTGGAGAAAAGGAATGAGGCAGAAGGGAAAGAGAGAACCAGGGGTGGATTTTTAAAGGGTGAACGAATTGAGATTTTCATGGCTTCTGATTTTTTTATAAATGTTTCTTTGCTCCTCATCACAGTATGAAATAGTTCTGTATCCAAAATTGTTTTGAAGAGCAAGATAATATAATGAGGCCAATCAATTTTGAAAATGAAGGAAAGGAGCAAGATCCTGTCTGCTGGGTCAAGAAATGGGATTTCAGCTCTCAGTGAAATCAGTGATATCTCAGTGTCCATTTGTTGGGGTGTTCAATGGTGTGTTCAGCCTGATTACCTCAGAACAAAAAATTCTTACCATGTAGGAATGTCTGCTTGGTCTGGTCTCCCTTCTCATGGCCCCCACCTTCCAGAAGCTTCTTGGAACTGCTGGCTGATTGTGACACAGGACAGCAGCTGGGGAGTCTCATGGAAACTGGTGTCTGCAGAGAGGAGAGGAGCCTCAGGGAGAAGCTGGGGCATGGACTCAGATGCGTAATCAAGGAATTGACAGGGACTGAGCCATGAGCCCAGCTGCCTTAGCAGACACCAGAGACTCCACACAGGACAGGACCAGTGCAGAAACCTCCTTCAGGGGGATGCTCTGACTGAAATGTGCAATGAGGCATCAAGGGCTTCACAGGGACTGAGCCATGGCCCATTAGCAGACACCAGAGAGTCCACACAGGACAGTGCCATTGCAAAAACCTTCCTCACAGGGATGTTCTGAGGCCTCAGCCCCTCTGAGGTGTGAGGTGAACTGCCCCTTCCACATCAGGCTGCAGCAGCATTGTTACTGGCAGGTCTGAAAGCTTTTTGTGATTGCTTAGGGAGTCTGTGCTGGCTGTGGGCAGGACCTGGCATTGAATGGATTCAGTGCTGGGCTGGCAGCTGAGTTCCATCCTGATTTCTTCTTTGCAAATCTGCTTTCTTCAGCAACCCCAAGTATTGACACCGTGGATGCCCTGTTTAGGGCAAAGGGTCAAATCCATTCTGATTGCAAAGCTGTTCATGGAAATCAATAACCAAGTGAGAGGGAATTTGCCCCTGGGTGTTTATTTCTGCATACTTTGCCTATGGTTCTGTGGTGGGGATGGTGAAAGTCTTTTCTTGGCAATAGCTCCGGCAATCTCGTGGTTTAAAACCTAATGGGAATTGTGGGAAGAGGTCAGAAGAAAATCTGGGAATTAGCTACTTACATTCTTAGTGGTGTTAGTGAGTAGTTGGAATTCAGAGCAAAGACTTTTTCCTGAACTCAAATGTCATGTTAAACAAAATCAAATTTTATACATTAGTGGCATAATGGAATTTTCTCAATTTAGTTGAACTCCATTTGTTAATAAGGCTGGAAGACAGCAATTCAGCTGTCCAGTGAGCACATGGTGGTCTCGTGGGCTTTGATTGCCTGGACTGAGACGTGGTGTCCTGATGGGGATGTTACCTAATCCTGGTTTGTGACCACTGTGAATAGCTCTTCCATAAGAGACTTGGGGACTGGAGCAGGCTCCCATGGACAGAAGATCCTGCAGTAATAGCATCTGGAGCAGGTGTTGAACTTAGTGCTGAGATTCCCTGTTTCTGTCCCTGACATCCTCATGCAGCTGTGGGATGCAGTTAAGGAACAGCTGATGTTCTGTAAGACAGTAGCTGTAATGTCAGAGGATGAAATCCACTCTGTTGGACTGGAGCAAAGGGGCAGAGCTTTGGGAACTAATGCAGGGTGCATCTGGTGTTAGTTATGTTTTAGCCTCTCAGGGTGCAGGGGAAAAGCTCTGGTACTTTGTCAGGAGAAGACACTTTCCTTATGGGACAGAAAGGGAAATTTTTTAAAGAGGAAATGGAATGGCTCCATTTGAAGGAGCAGAGATCAGTTCTCAGGTTAATTATTAGGCTTGGGTTCCTCAGTTCAATAGAGCTACTTCTCACCAGGGCTGTGACCTGGTGTAATTACAAACCAGCAATCTCTCAGCAAAGAGGGAGCTCTGGGAGGAATAATGTTCATGTTCTGGCAGTCAGTGGTGGTTTTATCAAGGCTTGCAAGCAGGGCCTTGTATCACTCAAACTGTGAGCTGCCAGCATAGCCTGAGTCAATTGCCAAGCACAAACTGAAATGTTGATCCTTTGTGGCTGCTCACAGGCAGCACAGGCTGTAGTGCCTCCAGGATGCTCCTGTTTGAGCTGCAGGGAGTTCAGGAGCAGAGTCAGGGAGGAAGGAAGGAAGGAAAAGAACTAACACTGCTTGTCAGCACTGAATGGTGCACAGGAGCTCAGGCTGCTTTAAATGAGGATACCAGAGGGAGAGGGGTGAGTAAGAGTTTAAAAAGAACTTTGTGAACCAAAAAGCAGAACTCCCACTATCCAACTTGCTTCCCAAAGTATGTTGTCACAGATTACCCTGGCTGCTGAAACTGGAACATCTTATCTCCAGGTCACTCCCCTGAGGTCTGAGAAAGCTGAAAGAGAAGAATTAGAGAGTGTTCATCTGCATCTTTCAGTTTACATCAGGATTATTTGAATTCACAGAATCTCTTAGGGTCACCTGACATATTTGCACAATATCTCTTGTGCTGAGGGAGGAGGCCTCACTAAATACAAGCTCTGAAGGAAAAAATGAAACCTGTGGTTTCCTCTGTGGCTCTCTGTGTCTTGTTTGAAGTCCCTTGCCCGTTGTCTCTCTCTGTTGAGGAAGACAAAATAAGCTGCCCAGCGTGACTTTTTTTGCTATTTCTGCAAAGTTCCTTCCATTTTAAAGGAGTGGAAAGTCCATTGCAAGATGTGAAAGTGAAATGCAGAGGGTGCTGTTTTTCCATCTCAGCAGCCACACGTGAAACTAAGGACAGCTCGGTGGTTAAAAACAAAACAGCCTTTGCTGTCAGAAAGCTGCAGCTGTGGAGGTGCTGTAACACTGCAATGCCAGTTGTAGTCAGTTCTTTATGGCCACAGGTTCCCACAAGTGCTGCTTGCTTCTGGGAGGCTTTCTTACTAAGTCTCTTAGACCTGAAGCATAGGCTGAACAAAGTGGTGTGGGTGCTTTAATTTATCTTTATATTTGTCTGAGTTCCTGGTTTAAAAGACACAAAAAGCGGAAATCAGTAAATAAATGTATTGTAGACCTTATTTAAATATAAATCACCATATCAAAAACCTATACTTTATCTGGGTTGTGCATAAATTGGGATGTTTTCTTCCTTCCTGGTGAAAGGGGGTTTTGTTTGTGTTGTGTGCATCAGCGCCATGAGGAGTCAGGTAAGAAATCTTGCAGCCAGGACACAAAGGGAAAGAGCCCTCTGTTGCTTTGTGTTCACATGTGCAGAACTGAGAATCTGGCCCTCAGCATTCACACTGCAGAGTATTTTGTAGATACATTTGTTTTTGTGCAGTATTCTCTCTTCTTCTAGTCTGTTTATTGTCTCTATCAGCAAGTGCAGTTTGCAGTAGTTAAATTGACACAGGTATGTTATCCTGGAGTGAATTTGTATTGCTGGGATTTTTAACAAGGCATAGCATCTGATGAGGAGTCCTTGTCATATTTCATTTTGTTGTGTCTCTAGGGGCAGAGACTGGGGAGCCCTGGTGGTTACTCCTGACCATTCCTGACTGCTGGGATTTGCTCAGGAGTAATTCCAACACAGCCCATGCTTCTGCACCTCAGACCTCAATAGTTCTGCACTCATGTGCACCCTCCTTGTAACTAAGGACAGGGGAAGGCAATTGCCACCCAAAAAGAGATTTTATTTTCAGATCCACTACTCTCCAAAACTAGCTCTCAGTATATTTCACAGCACCATGTGTTGCCAGTTTTGTAAACTTAGGCAGTGGAAAAACAAAGAAGCAACATAAAATGATACAGTTCTCCTTTGAGATATGTGAACCTGTCTCATGCACACCATGTCACAGCAATTTAAATGTGCATCTTGTCCCTCATCTTCAGCAGATGGATGGTTTTCTGTACCAATTAAACACAATTATTTTTGAGGGCAGTTTGCATTGTCCAGATTCCCTTTGGGTATTGCAGTCATGGTGCATTTTAAGAGTACCTCATATTAGGTAAAGGATCAGTTCTGTGAAGGATCCTGGTTACTTAACCAAAGAGAAGTCTTTGGGCAGAGTTGGTTAAACTAAAATAAATGTCTTCTGGAATTTGCCTCTGGTGATGAAACTGGTCCATTCAAACCAGTACAAGTACATTGCTAGGCAAACCCTTAATCCCTGCCAAAA